TCGTTTCATTTTACTTGTTTTTCAATCAACATTTAAAAGTAAAAAAAGAGAAAACGAGTAGAGAGCAAAATGGATATGAAACAAAATCATCATGGAATTAATTCAACAGTAATCTTAGATGGAAATTCAATTCATCGTTTAATTCAATTTGTTCATAATCTTGAAGAAAAATTATTATCTGTTAAAACAACACATGAACAATTACATGAATTAATGACGGTTGTATCTAAAACACATGAAACTATTGTTGATGAATTAACAACAATTAAAATGGTTTTAAATGAAAAACAAAATCAAAATGAGTAAGGTTTTTTTTCTTCTGAAAAAAACAATAACCTCTCGTCACAATAGAAGATCCATCCGTATTGAAAGATCCCCCCTAAATAGTAGGCCCCTCTGCAGCAAGAATCGGGGAAAAAACGCCCTAAGGGGGTAGATTGATTTTTTCCACAAAAGAAAAGTGCAAGTTGCGGAACCATAATAGGAGGCGCCGGCTCTTTTATTACCGAAGGGGGGGGGGGTTTACAACAGATATTTTAATAGAATTATTTTACTTCTTTTTTCAAAGGACAAGTCCAGTTAATAATAATTATGATGAAGAAGAAGAAGAAGATGAAGAAGACGAGGAAATAGAAGAACGTCATACACCAGTTTCAATAAAACAAGTTGAATCAAAATCATTAACAAATTTAAGCTCAACAAATCGTCCAATAGAACAAGCATCTTTATGTTCATCATCGACAAATTCTTTAACTTCAGAATCTCGTACAAATTCATCATCAATTAAACGTTCATCAAGTTTAAAAAAATCTGATCCAAGAATAAAATCAGCTAAATCAGTTAGTTTTAATTTCAATGAAAATAAAGATTCTCAACCATCAAATATTGAGAAACCATCAACAGAATCAAATGAAACCTTTGAAGAATTAACAACATCAGTTATACCATACAACAGACAAAATTCTGATCTTATGCCTGATCTATTTAAACAACATCATAAAGAAATTACAAATAAACCAACTATTGGTTATAAAATGGGAAGGTTAGATTGTTTTGTTTTTTCTATTAGAATATTTTTCTTTTTAACTAGTGCATTAGTAAATGTTCGTATACATGAAATCGAACCGACCAATGGAGAATATCTTCGATTACTTAATATATCGAATTCGGATGATTATGATTTAGGTGGACATTTTCTTCAACAAAATATTGCTTGTGCACCAGTTTGCCGTTTTCGATTTCCCTATAATACAATTATTCGAGCAGGACAAACTGTTACGGTACAAATAAAATTTCGATTGAAAAAAAATCTTATGCTTTTTTTTTCTTTAAGGTTTGGTGTGGTGCATTAAGAGATATTGAACCACAACCTCCGCATCTATTCGTATGGAAAGATCAGAGACGATGGGAAACAGGACCAGAATGTGTAACGATCTTAGCTAAACCGAATGGACAGGTATTTGAATTCTTTTTTAAACTAAATTTTTTGTTAAAATTCTAATTAAAATAAGGCAATT